GAATCCTGTTTATGAAATAAATGGTTCAAGGGAATCTCTATTTTAATAGACTTAAAGGTAACTTGATGCAAGTGAAAGTTAGCATCCACTGCAGTTCTAGTTTTTCCTTTTAATCAAATAATCTAAGTTTAGAAGCAATCTCAAAAGTAAAGGAAGAGTTACTGCTGCTCTGAAACGTATAACTCAAACATGAGGTGACAAAGGAGTGCAAGAATTATTGATGAAAAGAAGCAAGAAAGCAGTTCTTGCATTCAAGTTGTATTTATTTATTTATTTATTTATTTAGGAAATATATAACTATTTGTTTATTCTATCCTTTAATGCCTCAGGATTTCATTGATTTAATTTTTAAAGGAACATTTAACAGAAAGAAATAGTGAAAGCAAGTGGATTTTTCTTGAATTTACACCTTCTCAGGATATGCTCTTTATTTACTTTTCCACTTGAATTAAACAGTTTCTTCACTAAACCAGCCATCTGGTATGTGCAGTAAGTATATCGAGAGGATATTAGCAAATAAAACTTATCTGTGCCTCAGAAACCCACCTCTTCCTGACCTGTTCTCCGTCAGTTTATGAAACCTCTGGCACTGCTTTTTAAAAAAAAAAAAAGTTTTCCCTCTTGCCTTTGGTTTTTATTCTTGTGCACTAAAGGTGTTAGTTCTCTCTAATTTATGATAACTGAGATTGTCGAGTTGGTTTATTTTATTAACTGTGGGTTTTTTTTACTCTGGCCTGTTAGAAAGGAGCAGAGTGGGAAAGGGGGTGACTGTGACTCCACTATGAAAACTGTAATTGCCTTTAATGCCAGAACCTCTCACTGACCTCGGGCTGGCTCAGCCCCACATTCAGCAGGAGTAAATTCCAGCAGCCAGGCAGCAGAGATTGTTGCATTTGCACACTGAGGGATGGCATATTCTTGTTTGTAACGCAGTGTGTTCAAGAGCAAGGCAATATGAAATGGTTTCCCACCATATGAAATTGTTTGTCCCACCCTAATGTTTTTCCAGTGTTTTTGTTGGGAGATCAGAAGGCAAATGTTCTCCTGTGACAACTGGGGGCATTTCAGGAGTGATTCACTCTTCAGAACCAGGCTGTGATTATTGCAGCAGCTCGTCAGTCCCTCTGCCCTGGGTGCCTTCGTGCTCATCACTGTCCAGCCTGGGGGCCACTCAGACTCTTGGAGGGCCTGGGCTGGAACCCCTCATTCTAACCAGAATTATCTCAGTAAATTTAACTTTACATCCTACCAGGCAGCTCTGTTTTCTCCCAAAGCGATGACAACAGTGCCTGTTTGTAACCAACAGAATTAATTAAAGCCAAGTCTGATTTATTTAGAATTTAATTGAGACAAAGCAAAAACCTTATTTATACATTTTGATGACTTTACTTGAGGCTCACCTTTCCCTGCCTTTGGTTCACCAGGGCAATAAAAAGTAATTAACCCACTTCTTGGTGCCCTGTAGGTTGTTACAACGTGCCTTGGTAAGACAGAGATTAAACATCCATGGAGATCTTGTACAATATTGAAGGTGGAATGTTGAGGCAAAGGATCCCTGGGCTATTTAGTGCCGTTCCATGTCATCACAATTTCCATCTGGAGTGCAAACCCCGTGCTCTGTTGGGTGGCCTAGAGTCAGACTTCGTGAAACATGTTGGTTAAGTTATTTACCAAAAGAGGCTTGAAATTACCAAAGAAAAAAGGTGTGGTTTGGTGGTGGGGAGAGAAGCTGAGCTCCAGTAGGACTGCAAAGGGCACCTGCCAGAACATGTGTGTCTGCTTGTGACCGTGGGGCAGTCAAAGAGCTATTGGGGTACAGTTTAGAAACCAAATTACACCAACCATCTCCTGGGGTTTTGCTGTAGCTGCTTGTAAGGTGTGACACACACGGCCTGGCATTGCCTGACCCTCCCTCAGACGTGCCCAGAACTCCCACAGGTGCTCCCCATCCATCCCTGGGGAGCTCATCCCTCGTGGATGCTCCCATTGCCATCCTGGCACCTGCCCTTTGCCCCCAAGGCTTTCAGTGCCTACAGTTCAGAACCAAATTCCTGAGTTTCCAATCTCCCCATAAAGAACTTTTGATAACCTTGACTGCCAGTTTTCCTGAAAATGTAAGTGGGTTTGCTCATCAAGGAAATTCATCAAGTTTATGCAGCGTTCTTTTTGAACTGAGTTTGCATTTCCTTGGGAAAAAAAAAAAGTTAACTGTAAGAAAATGATCTGTAATCTCAGCACTTGTATAACTCCTGATTAACCTCAAAAACATTCACTCATGCTTTTTTTTTAAAACACAAAGCCTAAAATGGAGATTCTACTTCTTTTCTCAGAAGAGATTTTATCATTATAAGCCACTGAATGTCATCAGATAACCCATTATGTCGGCTTGACAAAGAGCTGACTCTGAACTGGGGTAAATGAGGTAAGAAAGTCCTTGTAACTATAGCTGGGGATCATCTTGGCCTTTGAAAGAGAAAAGTCTGAGCAGCCTTAGAGGAAGAAGATTACCTTCAGCTAATTCCAGCTTTGGCCATGTGCAAAGCTGATGCTCTGTATATCCTAAGGATCCCCCTGTGCTCTGGGAGATCAGTACCTGAGCTTCTGAGATCTGAAACTTTCAAATTAACAATAAGCAACAGGAGCAATCTGGTGAGGAAATTTAAGACAATCTGAATTTCCATCCACTGCCCACCCAAATGGCTGAGTCTGTTTTAACTTGGAAAATGGTAATTAGTCCTAATTTATCATTGGTGCTTAAGCAGAACCTCAGTTGAAGGCACTGAGCCATCCTGCTTAATTGCCAGAGGCATATGGCAAAGTATGACTAAAACTATTTTGCTCCAATGCTAATGAGTACAGAAATTCGGGAACTGTTGAAAAGCTAGTGAATACAAACCCTTAATAATGCCCAGGGAATGATGTCATTCCAGTCCTGCCATAAAGAATCTGCCTTGCAGGAGCAGCACATGCCAAACGATTGTTTGCAGAGTGAAATGATGCTGGTGAGCACTGTGGAAAAGCTGCTCTGCAAACCTGTTAATCCATTTTAAATGTACTGCCTTGGTGATAAAGATGAGTTATTGATGTGCTGATACAAACAATGTCTGTAAGCAGAGCTAAAACCCTGCAGTTGGTATTTGTGAAAACTAATCATCATTCCCGGTTTCAGTTCCAATTTGCTCACTTCTGTTTTCCTGAAAGGCAAAGCAATGTGATTGTACAGTGCTTTATATTTTCATAGTTCTGCAAGTAAACTAAACCCTCTCACAATTCCCTGTGAGAAGGAAATGTTGCTGTTCCCTTTGGCTGCTTAGGAAAGCCGTGAGAGCAGTGGAGGGGTTTGCTGAAGGCTGCAGTGAGTCAGTGCTCTCTCCAATATCACAGATTAGGATCGTGGCTCTGAGCTCTGCAGAGCCTCCACCAGGAGATCAATAGTGCTCAACTGGGGGCTATTTTTAGTGGCCAGTTCACTCTTCCTTCATTTTCTGCCTCCTTGCTGTGGCTCCCACCTTCCACACGCCCCTCTTAGACAATAATAATCACACATCTCCTTTTTTCTCTTCTACTACAAGTGGGGAAGAATTACCCTGGATATTTTCCCTGTTTTAATCTGCAAAACAACTTGTCCTCATGGTACCACATGGGTTGTTCCCTAATGTCTTTCTTGAAGTCTCTGAAAGATGGTTTTGTCCTTATTCATTAACCAAGAACATAATTATTAACAAATTTGATGTTGCAGTGTTAAAAAAGGAAAAAAGAGCTGCTCCTAGAAAACCCTCACGTGCAATATATTGGGAAATTAATCACATGGTAAATAATTTAGTCACAGAGTAAGGGGATGCTTAAGAACACATCCCAGCCATTACTGATGGCATTAAAGGGCTTTTTCTTTGGTTATGTTTCCTTTTTGATGAAAATAAGCTAATTCTTGATTTTCCATTTGCTGAACATTACAAAGTGACTTTCCCTCTGTGTGTTCATTTCCCTTTTTTCTACTTTTTCAATTATATATTGTATGAATATCCAGTAATCTTACATGAAGAAACTCTGAACCTAAAATAAACTATAATATTTTCCCAGTGAAGCAGAAAATCTTATCTTTGATCAGACTAATTAATTTTGGGATAACGAAAGAAACCAGAACATCTAATGGGAAATGCCAATTCACCAAGTTTTGGTTTAGAAACCTGGTAAAGTGACATTTAGAAAATTTAAGTTTCCATGACAAAAAAAAAAAAAAAAGGAACATGAAGTTGATGTCACAGCTCAACAAGACTAAATATTTATATCACCAGTATTGAGAATCCAAACTAGCAAATAGTCAGTGGAATTCTGCCATCACCTGTTTTAGCTTTCTGATGATACAAATTTAATACAAGTTATTCCCTAATACAGGTTTTCATACAATCATTATCATAATTCTATTTTCTAGGATTTTGGAAATTCAGGCAAGTTCTTGGAATTAATAGGAGTAGCAATCAGAACAAATGTGATATGCTCCTGCACACCATGTCTCTGGAAACCATTCTCCAGACATTTGCAGAAGCAGCTTAGAGAGGGTTTGGTTCTGCTTTAGGGGGACATTCTCTGCTCTCCACAGGCTGTAAAAATTCCACCTATTCCTTGCTGCATTTGGCATGTTTGTGTGTGAGCTCCACACTTTCCTGGTGACAGGGGGATGATTGATGTCCTGGTCCTTCAGGTTTCCAGGCAGCAGAATAAAATGCCAAGGTCTGATCCTGCACAAGGTAAAGACCTCCAGCAGATGTGACCACGAGTCCAGAAGAACATCTGCAGTGGCCTGAACTGGGATGTCCTTCACTCGCAGTTATTCACCTCTGAACACGCCCAGACTGTGCTTTTAACAGCCTGAACAGTGCTCAGCTTTTGCATTAACCATTGTCTCTGGCTTTTCCAGAAGATAGGAATTTGTATGCCCTCAGATTTACATGAGATGTGCCTTTTAAGTGTCTCTCTCTCGTTTTTTATCGTTCTATCAGATGGATGAACCGTTTGGGTCTTGCAGCAATTGGTTACACACCTGATGACAAGGACATTCATCCAGATGAAGGTAATGTTTCAGTGGTTGTAATTAGGAGAGGAGAGCAGACAGCACAGATCTGTTCAGTGTCTCAGCAAACCTGGAGATGTCATAACTGACTCCTTTATTAACATATGGTCGTATCTTTTCAAATGCCAACTTTGATAAGAATCCTTATCCTTGAATAACTCCAGTTATTGGTGCCACTACCAAAGAAAATAAAATCCTGAGTAATAATTTTAAGAAATATTTAAAATATTTTAAGAAATATTTAAAATAAGTGATAAAGAGAATTCAGGGTGAGGTGTGATCTCTCAGATCCCAGCCCTCAGGGATGATCATCCCCCTAAAGCAAGTGAAGGCACCCCAAGCACAGGTAACACGTGCCTTTTGTGCCTCCTGAGCTCGAGTGCCAGCCTTGCCTTTCCCCACCACCCACGGTGGAGTTATGCTGACACAATAAAGTGTTCAGGCTCAGCTCTACTTTGGCATCTGGAATGAAGTTTGTCTTTGACAGTCTGTGGCCTGAAGTTGGGGTTCCCATGCAGTGGGAGTCAGGTGCCCAACCTGCTTTCTGTAACTCTGCCCTAAAGCGTTTGGAGGTTCACATACAGATAGATCTGTGTATCTCAGTGCCAGACATTTCCACAAGCCTGTTCCTTGTGGCTGCCAAGCCCTGTGGGTGACTGGGGAATGTTTACCTTGCCCTGCTAATGATGTTTTTAAAATGTGGGACCTGCTTTGTCGTAGAAAAGCACAGGAGTGAAACCAGGAATGTTTTGTTAGCAGATTACTGGAGCGAGAGCGACCAGGACGACATCGACGGCTCACTCACCCTGAAGCAGGAGGGCTCCTCCACACTGTGTGACACCTACCATCGAACACCCTCAGTGAGTCCCAAATGTTGCATTTGACAGTAGGTCACCAAAAAATCTCTGTGTGCCTTGAGTTGCGCTTTCCCCGTTCCGGAATATTTAATTGCCGTAAAGGTGGAATAAAGCCGGATCTCATTGTGAGAATGAAATTGTTGCTGTTCCTCATGAGCCAAGACCTGGATGTTTCCATAGCAAGTCAGTTGCAAAGGAAGGAGAGGTAAATATCTCCTGACACAGATCTGTCACCACACTGTAAATATGACCTTTTTTTTTTTTTGTAGGATGGGTGAGACTACACCTGATAACAGAAACAAATATTCAAATGTTGACTTCACTGCAGAACATGAAAAGAATGTGGTAGATGAGATAGTTTGGATTAAAAGAGACTGTTTTTCAAGTATCAGTATTGGATACTGGGGGATAGAGATTAAGGTCAGCTCACATTCACGCAGTAATCATGTTTTAGTTCTTCTTCTCAGAATAAACCTTTCTAGGCAAGGGGTTTTTGTTACAATATTGTGCACAGTACCATAGGAGTGATAGTATTGCAAAGAGAACATTTCTATTAGACAAAACACAGACAGGCTGTGATAATTATTCTATGTTTCTAAACACAGATAGGACTGTTCTCTATTTTTCTTTCAGATTTTTCTTCAGCGTGAATGACATGATCCTCACACAGCCAGAACCAAAGAAAGAGTGACTGAGACAACAGCATCACATGGGTGAAGTTCAGACTGATTTTCACCCATGTGATGCTGTTTTATCAACTGGGATACAGGTTAAGCCCCTCCCTTTCTGTTTTTCCACATTTTTGCCTTTCTCTTTTTTTTTTTTTTTCAATTAAATTTACACACAGACCCAGCAGAATTAACTAAAATAATTCCACAAGTTCAGTGGTCCCCCAGTCAAAAACCTTTTGTTGCTTGGTTTTAGTTTTTTATTTTTCTTCCTTTGGCTGGATACATACGCCCTAAAAAGAGAAAGTAAATCCAATTATGATTTCTTTTGGAGACTGCCATGTCTTCATGGCACACTGCTGGATGAGTGTAAGCTGGGCAGGTCTTCAGGAAACCTGCCTAGTGTTATACTGTTCTTTCCATCAGGAGCTGATTGTGGGCAGAGAATGTGCAAAAGGAGAATAGGGAGTGGTTAAAATATAGCACTTGCATAGAAGTTCTCACTGCTAATTATCTTCTGTTTCCTCTAATTATCTTCTGTTTCCAGAGGTTCATGTTATGACATATCAAGCACATCAGTCCATTGATTACTGTGTATCACATCATGTTCTCCACTGCAGTCCCTTGCTGGGCTCTGTTCAAAGCCCTGTCTCATGGTCAGGTGTTCCTGTGTCTCCCCAGGTGAATTCCTCCAGCCCATTCCCCGAAGCCAAACAAGGCCGACACTTTTCAAGCGAGTCAACGTATTCCCAGTCGTCTGCCGAGGATTCCCGGCAGGATGCAGGCGGCAGCACCCACTCCTCGGGCTGCAGACCCCCCTACCGAGAGCGGCGCTCGTGGCAGGACCTCATCGAGACCCCCTTAACCAGTTCAGGGCTGCACTTCCTGCAGACTGTTCCTCCCGAAGCCGAGTACTCGAGCGGCCGGCCCGGAATGTCCCCGGACAAGCGGAGACAAGCCACGCTGCCCGTCCAGAGGAGACACAACTTCGAGCAGGACGGGCCTTTCCCTCTGGTGGAGTGTCCCAGGGGACACAGCTCCCATGGCAGGCCCCAGAAACAGCGCAGCCAGAGCCTCCCCCGGAACAGAGACGTCAGGGGCAAGGGCCGGGGAAAGTCCATTGAAGGGATGGATGACAGTCTGGAAGAGAAAGTTCCCATTAGGAGGCACAACAGTTTCTGTGCAGAAGGTAAGCTCTGGGAGGTGCCACGATCCTCTTGACTGCCATCAAAGCCAGGCCAGTATTGCCTTTATTCCCAGCAGGTTTTTTGTGGTTGAAATGCTGGATGTTGGCAAGTTCACCCATCACTACACGGGAATTCATATTTGAAATTCCAGGAGCTAACACTAGAATAGAGTGTTGGGATGATCAGAAAGTTGTTGTTTTATCAAAACAAACACTGGGGAACTGTGTAATAGGGTTAATTTATCCATGAAGCTGCAGTATTGCTGGGTTTAGAGACTTCGCTGAAGCAATTAGATTTGTTGTTAGGTTTCTTTATTTTCTTTCAGAAAACATGAAAGAGATTGAAGAAATCACAGATGGTCTGCAGGAGCTGTACAAAACCCTGGAAGAAGCCAGTCTGTCAGCTTTTGGGGAGCAGCGTCCTTCCACCAAGCAGGAGTTCCGCAAGTCCTTCGTGAAGCGATGCAACGACCCCGTTATCAATGAAAAGCTTCACCACATCAGAGTTCTCAAGAGCACTTTAAAAGTAAGGCTTTAGCACTGGCTCTGTGATAAGGAACACAACCTAGTGAAAGTATAATCATAGAGTCACAGAAAGGTTTGGGTTGGAAGGGACCTTAAGGCCTACCCCGTCCCACCCCATGAGACACGGGCAGGGACACCTTCCACTATCCCAGGTTGCTCCAAGCCCTGTCCAACCTGGCCTTGGACACTTCCAGGGATGGGGCAGCCACAGCTTCTCTGGGCAGCCTGTGCCTCACCACACCCTCACAGTCGGGAATTTCTTCCCAATATTTAATCTAAACCTACTCTCTGGCAGTGGGAAGCCATTCCCCCTTGTCCTGTCACTCCATGCCCTAAATCTCTTAATGGTTTCCAGCGATGAGACTTTCTCTGTAGCTTTAAAATTAAGTTGCAAATAAACTAAAAATCCTTGAAAGCAAACATGTTCCAGCTTAAGCAAAAAAAAAGAATGATTATTTGGCACTCTGTATAGGCATGTTGTACCAGGTGCCATGGACTGAGCTGTCAAATAGTTTAAGCTGTAACGGTTCCTGAATTTAGGTAAAATATTAAAGTGTTCCTGGCACTTTGCATTAAAGTGAAAGAAGAAATAAAGTGCTGAAATACAAGATTCCATTTTGACATGTCTTTCTGGAATTTGCCAGGCGAAGGAAGGAGACCTCACAGTTATCAACAGCCTTCTGGACGATCCCAACTTAACATCAAAGAAGTTCAAAGATTGGAAACTAAAGAACTACGAGTTTTTCCTGGACATTTGTGAGTACAGTGCTGCTGGGAAATCCCAAAACGGAGCCTCTGAACTGGGAAGCTCAGCCCCAATGCTGACACACACACACTCCTTCATCGAGACCCACGTGTGACAGGACTCAGCCTGAGCAGCTGCTGGGTGCCCTGAACACCGAGTCAAACACTGGCATATTTATTGGTAACACACTCAGCAGTACTGTAAATACTTGGGTAAGAGAATAGTGCCACAGGATGCCTCCTACATTGCATGAGAAGACAATACTCTTTTAAATGGATTTTTTTTTTGTTTGCTATTATCAACCAATGTCCGTATCAAGCTCTGCATTAGGAAGAAGTGGTGCAGAAGTGTAACTGAAAATCAATACCAGTATATTTAAAGTACTGTACTAAAATTAAGCTTATAGTATGAGCTCCTACAATCATTTTATATATTTAGATATATATAAACACATATCTATGTATATAAAATGTAACACATGGTAGTTGACATTTCCTTTTAAAATGCCCTACAGTTCACATTTTCACACACTTTTCCTTGAGGAAAAAAAAATATATAAAAATGAAGGCATAAATCCATTGGCCGCTGACCGTTTATTTTTGCGACATTTCCAGGTAGTGACCATCTTTGCAAATAAAAGGACAGAGTTATCAAAATGTAAACTCAATCCCTATAGTGTGCCTTAAAATGTACACTGTACATCAAACAAATAGACCCCAGTCTAGCCCTATGGGCACTCTGTACATGCCATTAGATACTGTGTTTGTAACATGCTGTGCCTGCCTTCCCAGGGAGGGAACAGGAGCAAGCAGGTGAGGCACAGAGGTGGAACAATGTTGGTTGTTCACTAATGCTGCAATTTCAACTGGTTTTAATAGAATCTGAAGTATTTCATGGTGAAAGAAGAAACCATCTGCTCTGAGTAAGGTACCTACTGCAGGTTTTCATCCTTTCTTCACTGTGAATTTAAGTGACACATGACTGTGAGTCACAAAATTCAAAAGGAGAATGAGAAGGAAGTTTAAAAATCTCCTGAGCTACTCAATTCCATTCTGTGACATCTATAGCTGAGTAAATTATTCAAAGTTATGTAATGTCTGGCAATAATTTTTACCTGGTAGCAGTACTTTTAGCACGTGGGTGAAGTGATTCAAAGCATCATTTGAAAACCAATCTGTATGGATTGGTTTGGGAAGACACACAAGTCACAGGGGGTATTTCACTTCCTTGCCTGGGTGAAGAACTGTTTCTAAGAATCAGATTTTGGGGAAAATACTTGTATTCTTGGGGGGAAAAAAAAATTGTTCTGAATGCTACTGAACATGAAGTTCAAACACATTCACAGTTTTCTTTGACTCTGCTTGCCAGAATATTTCTGAAAGGCAGAAGGAAGGGGATGTGAACAAAACTGATGTAATTTCACTGAAACATAGACATTCACTGAGAATTTTTGCTCAAGATAACCATAGTTGTCTCCCATACATCAAGGTGTATAAATCCATGCCATTCAATATAATGTTGAACTTAGTTTAAAATGTTATCTCAGTGATGTCCCAGATTCCAGGAAGAGATTTAATGGTTTAAAGGTGAAGGTGTCCTCTGTGTTTAGCTCTGTCTCCACAGAGCAGCTGATGGGGGGTGACCTTGGCTGGCCACCTGCCCTCACTCCCCCTCCTCAACAGGGCAGGGGGAGAAAATGTCATGGAAAAGCTCCTGGGTTGAGAGAAAGACAAGGAGATCACCTATTAATGGTTATCATGGGCAAAACAACCCTGACTTGGGGAAAATTCATTTACTGACAGTTTCAAATACAGTTGCATTGTGAGAAAAAAAAAGACAAAAACACCTTTCCCTTGCCTCCTCCCTTCCTTCCAGGCTCAATTTCATCCCTTCATTCCCAGCAAGCAACTGGATAAATTATAGATTCTATTTAGAAACCAATTCATACTTTCATGCAAGCACTGATGGATGCTCACAGAATTAGGTAAATAGATGGAACTTTCAATATTCCTGAAGAAAATTAAATATGCCTTTTGTTTCAAACCCAAAAGATGGTTTATGTTTTCTATATTATTTTAAAATAGCTTTCCAATGTATTGTCACTCAAGACAGAAATGACAATTGTCCACTGAGTCTATTCAGTGAAGGCTGAGTAAACAGGGAAACAAGGTATTTCTCCTCTAAAATGCTACTTATAGATACAGCTGAAAATTATAAACATGATTGGGAAGATCTGTTTCTCAGAACTAACACAGATAGTAAGGAAAGTAGATGATCTCAATTTTAAGTTAAACGAGATTTCTGCAATGCGAGTAGAAGAGATAAATAGTTGTGAGTTCATCCTAAACTCAGCTTATCTTTCAAATCTTTCAGTGTCATGAGAGGATCGCTCTGAAATTCTCAGAATCGTGAGTCTGCCTTCTGCTCCTGGAGAGCAGCTCTCAGCAAATGTGATTTGCACTGAACAGGCCAGATAAATTATCCAGGGCATTCATAAGGTGAAATGAGATACACCAGAGAAATTTCCTGTAATGGGCTTAAGATTAACTGGGAGAAAAGTTTGAAAGATTTATCTGGCATTGCTTGTGCCTTAGAGCAAGCAAAATCTAATTGCTAAATTAAGCAATACAAAGACTTTATTCTTTCCCAAATGCCAGCTGGCTTTTGGGAGTCATTTCACAAGAACTTGTCATACTTCTTGCATATGAACTCAGCTCCAACCTGCAGCCCTGCCCTCCCCACCATGAGTTTCTTCTTCCTCCTGGCTGTAGGTACCAATCTGGCTGTACTGCAGAAAGTAATGGCCAAAATCACTGTAGCACAGTTATCTGGAATTTCACCACCTTTGAAATCACTGGAAAGCAAAGTGCAATAGAGACACTCTGCTTAAAAATCCATGCACCACATCCTGCTTCTGTATTAGAAAATGTTCAATTCTCCTGCACCAACAGGTACTTAAACACACCGTACAAAGCAGCTGGAACTGTTGTGGTAGTTTGGATCCCATGTTTTTCAATTAGAAAAAAACAAGTCTTGGCTGTTGAGCTCATGAAGGGAAATGAACAGTCCCAGTACAATACATTTAGTAATTTACAAGATTTCCTGCCTGAATGCTCAGGTTAAACTTGGTTCTTAACATGCACAACTACACAAAGAGACTACTTGGATGTGTTTTATTGATCTGGGTCTTATGAAAGTTAGTGTCTTCATTCAGAATTCTTGCAGGTAAAATGTCTCAGCCCACAGACTCTCCTGAGACTCCACAAGCTGAGTCTTCTTCTAACTGGCTATTTTTTATTACAACTGATTTAATGTTCCCCCTGAGCTACTGATTCCCCTCTTGTTTTAATACTGGTCTGTATTCAGTGACATCTCAGACCTCTGAAAGCTCTCTGTCAGCATCACTTCCTGAGAAAACTGAGACCTTTTTCTGGGTTTCATTAATTTAAGTGAGAACTTCCCTAAGTTTGCCCTATTTGATATGAACAAGAACCAAAGGAGGAGCAGGGGTTTCTCACCAGTTTGTATATTCAGCTCCAGGCTGCTGCCTTTTAAGCTGGAAATTGTGGTGCTCCACTGGCTTTTTCCAAGGAAAAAGAAAGGAGTGTTGCAGAGAATTGCTCTGTGTACATGGCCCTTAACTCTGTCCTTACTCTTCAGCAGTCCCAGCCCTCCCTCTGCTCCAAGGTCCTGGGAAAGGCTAAGCCTCCTCAAAAACTGCAGAATTCTGCTGCTGACCTTTAAAAGGCTTCACTTGAAATGTTAACAGGACTTCTGGGAGAAAAATGAAGAATCTGGTAAGAATTGTTTAACTTCACACAAATCTGAGGAGAGTGGAGAAAATTCTTGCATTTGTCTCAAGTAATGTAAATCAACAAAACCAGCCCCATCTGCCATAGCTGGCAACTACCCCCAAACTGCAACACAAAGAGATCCTGACTCTGTCTCTGGATCCAGCCCTGGGGAGATTCCTTAAGGACGAGAGCACAGGCCTGTCTGATTTCCTGGGCTTCAGCCTGAACATCCCCTTTATGGTACACCCAGATTCCTGTAGAAAAACGTTTGAGAAATAAGTGGTGACTTGGTCTCGCAAAGGATTTTAATTTCTCCTTAGTTTTCACAGAAGGGAAATGATGCATTTCCAGGGAAGACAGAAGGGCACGGGTTTTCCATGGCAGATTTTCCACGTACCACATGCCTTAGGCCACTGAGCTAAAATCTCATTAGAGGCAACACAGCGTCTTCCCTGCTGCCAAATGATGTTTATTTACCACTAGGACAAAATGGGTAATAACAGAAAATACTTAAGAAGCAATATTAGCCAATTAATTTATATTCAGGAATAAAAAAGCTCTTTTTCTTCTGAAATGTTTCCCCCATTAAAGCTAAGGCTCAGGGTAGGTTTTCCAGGCAAAATGCTGTGAGGACAGGTCCCCCATGTCCCATCCCAGAGGAATTCACACTGCGTGGCTGAGGCTCTCAGTGGGTAAAGTGGGCACAGATCTGAAAATCACATCTGAAAATCCCCCCTGAGCTCTATCAGCTGATGTATGGAAAATACACAGCTATCTAAACCAAAACTAGTAAGTTGTATTTTCTTAATTGATGTTTATAATTATTTTCTTTACTGCCATTACATACTAGCATAGTCTTGTGTTTCTCATCAGGTCCACTCACTAATATGTAGGCAGGGGACTCTCTACTCTTGATATAACTAATAAACAAAGAAACAGGTTTTTAAAGCTTAGTTTCTACATGTTACGGGTTATACCACACTTGCACATTCGGGAGGAGGATTAGGAATAATATTGTTTAAGCTTTTATCAGGTTTTGAGATAGGTGATATACTGCTGGGAGCTACTCTTAATAAAGTTATTTATATAATTCAGACAGATACTGCCTTCAGGAAAAGAACCACATTCACTCTCAATGCAGGCCAGGCAGATCTATCTTTATTTTCATCGGGCACACACACGTGTTAGAAGTGACTTTATGCATTAATGCCACTGTATGAGCAGTATTTGAAAGGAAGCAATGTTGTATAAATGACAAAATACGTCGACAACCTGCTGTTTGACCAGCCAAGCCCTCTAGCTTCTGTCCTCACATTTGTAGAATATTGTTCATCCTCAGGCGTTGGTGAGGGTATCAATACAGACCTTTTTACTGACGGTAAATGCGTCTGTCCGAATGCTGCAGATTAACTAAGGATGTCACATTAAACATGTTAACTACTGCATTTTTTCACTAGCAACCACGGAGAAAATACATCTTAACAAACCGTGTTCACTGGCCAAAATACCAGTAAGACCCTGTTACCAGTTAAGACTTCTGTTTTACTGAGAAACAAGGACTTCAGCTTAAAAATCTGATGAGAAAACAGGTTAGGATATAAGAGAAATGCACTAGTACTAATAAACTTTTTACATTTGACACATACTGTATTACAAAGACAATATCCTTGTAAGACCATTAATTGCTGGGCCATAGGTGACTTCTGTCTAGGTTACTAACTAGCTAATAAACCTTGTATAGAGCCTTTTTTAGATAACGCTTCCATGTATGAAAATGTATGACACCCTTGTACTATGGCTTGCACTTTACTTGCATTAAACTGTGAAGTAGGCTGTAGTAATGTCCTTGTATATTCAGGGGTTGAAATGCCAAAGCACTGGAGTCTCGTACTGCTGGTGTTCAACCTGTCCCACGTGTGCTCCGCAAACCCCACCAACTCCAACCTTTAGCAAATAACGCTCTGGGGTCTCCATGGTCTTTGTTTCTTTGTAAATAGAAACATTCTTACTGTTTCTGTAGCAATAGGAGGTTGTAAACCAAACTTTCACTAGGACTGTTTTCAATAACAAAAAACAAACAAACAAACAAAAAAAGAATTATAGCGCCTTGTATAAAAATCATGGAGACTCCATGACCTGTGAGCATTTTTGTTTACAAGCAGTATGTATATATGTATTAGAGGCAGAACTGTTATTTATCACAAAGTTATGTCGTGGATGACTCTGTCTTAAATAAATACATGTTTTCTGTCATTAAGAAAAAATAAGTATTTTAGAGCCATCTTGAGACATTTGAAGTGTCAGGCTTCAAATACGAGCAATCTTCCATGTTTCAGCCTTGTTTTTCTAATCAGAACTGAGAGGTAAAGGCAACCCCCCTGTCCATGCCAGGGAAAGCGTCGGAGTTGGAAGTTTTTGAGCATTCTGCAACTTTTCTATAATGCCCGTGTTGCTTAAGCGCTTTCCTGAGCAGATACTCCGCCGATACTGCAGTAAATCCTCAGCTCAAGATGCTACAGAGAGAAAATTAACTGCTTAGACTAATACAGGTCAAACGAGGTTTCAACCCCTGGATAATACAGTATTTCTTCAGTTTCACAACAGTATTTTTAATTTTATACTTGTCTATGTTGAGAGATGACCCAATAGTTTCTATAGGCAATGAACATTAGGTTTCTTTTTTTCCCTCTTTCCAGATGAGTTCTGTGTGAATTACTGTAACTGGCTGCGTTTTTTCTATCACAGATTATTACCTTGTTAACTTTTTGTGTGTCTACAATGAAAATTTATGAATGGAAAACTTCACTGTGTGTTGCTCACTGGGCATATACCTCATGGTACATTGCACAGACGTGTAAGTTGTAAGTTGCACTGCAACATTAAAAAAAAAGGAACATATTGCTCTTTTTTCAAAGATATTAACTTATTTAAGAGATATAGTCTGTACATTATTAAAAAAAAGAAGAAGAAGAAAAAAAAAACATTTATTCTTCCTAAATTCAAACAAAGCTTTTGTTTTGGGAGGGGAGGGGAAAAATAAAAAAGAAAAAAAAAAGAAAAAAGTTGTAAACTTCAGTTGTAAATTTGGACTTCAATAAACGAATTATCTGCACTTAGACTGTGTGTTTAGGGGTATTTGTGGGGGTTTATGTGCGATCCCGGCTGAAGTCGATCCTGCCACGCCTGAGGGCGATCCCTGTTCCCCTGAGGGCGATCCTGGCTGAGGGCAATCCCTGTACCCCCGAGGGCGATCCCTGCCCCGGCCGAGGGCA